TAACAATTGATTCTTGACGCATAAATCTATGAATACCTTTAAACAACAATTTATAGATTGATTTTTTATTTATTAAAAATTAAATAAAAATATTTTATTATCAATATTATTTTAAATAATTATTTATATAGATAAACAAGATTTTTAAAAAAGAAATTTATTTTTATCATTAAAATCTTGTTAGAAAATCGAATAATTTATCATTATCAAAGATAATATTATCCCTCTTTATTTATTTATTCATAGAATAACAATATTAACTAACCAACTTACATTTTAAATATATTCAATTTTATCCGTTTTTAGCTAAAAACAAAATCCAAGAGTATTTGAAAATGTTTTTAAATTGAAAACTATTTTAGCAAATCATCAAAATGATTTTGACTTTTGTTGACAAATGATTTTTGATAAACAATAATGAAAATAAATGAAATAGAAAAGAAAATCCTTGTCAAAGATTTCTATTGTTAATCATACTATGAAGGATAACTTATTTCTATTGTCAAATAGAAATAATTAATTGAATATAGATTTAAAAAACAAAGAAAATAAATCATATCGAAATATAAAATATCCTCGCTTATTTGTGATTAAATTTTAAAATAAAGAATGAAGATCCTCTTCTAAAAATAAATATTATTCTATCATTAAATACTTCTCAATATTCTCATCATTGACTATCGATAATTTTCGAAAAATTTCTTAATAATATTCTTTTCTCTATCAATCATTGACTTCTACAACTTTTTTATAATCAACAAAAAAAACTGAAGAAATATTTTGTTTTTATTTTTACCAGCTGGTAAAGAAGCTTGTTGAGGAAGAAATATATGATTAATTCCACCGATTGTTTGTTCAATTGATAAATTACTTCCAATAATATGAAGACCTTAAAACAAAAAAGTAAAAGAAGATTTATTTAAATAAATAAAGAGAGTAAAAAAAATACAATTATCTGAATGAGTAGATACATAAAATGTTTGATCATTTGATGAACTAAGATGAATTATTGGTGCACCAAGTCGTGGTCGAAATGTTGGTTCACTTTTTCGATAAAGCCATTTAACAAGTACACATTCATTACCACCAGATAATAAATATGAACCTTTTTACAAATATTTTATTTAAACAAATTTAAAAAAATAAAAACGAACCATCAAATGAAAATGCTAAACAAATAACAGGTAATGAATGCCAATGTAAATATGATATTGTTGGTTCTTTATTTGTTGAATTTATAAAATTATACCTAAAAATAAAAGAGAATAATTGTTTAAATATATAAGAATAAAATTTCTTTCTGACCAAAGAGCAATTCGACCAGATTGTGTTCCTAATGCAATAGTTTCTTCATTTGGATGAATTTGTGCACATGTTATTTTATCATGATATGATAAATTTTTTTTTTTTATTACTATACTTTTTATTTGATTATTTAATATATTTAATATATATATTATTCTACCATCAACATTTATAAATACACATATTTCACCCTTTAACAATATTTATTCAATATTAATTAAATTAAATTAAATAAAATAAAATAAAATACTTTTTTATCAAATGAAATTGATTTTGGTAAACATGGAAGTTTATCAAATAAAATAATAGGTGAAGATTTATGACGAATTGATTCAATTCGATAAAGAGAATATACTTAAATAATAAAATATTTATTTTTTTAAATATAAATATTATATTTACCATTTTTAACATTTTTACCAAATATATATAAACCTGAATTAACGATTGAATATAAATCAATTATTTCAAATTCAACTTTTATTGTCTAAATAAAATAATTTATAAATAGATTATCGGCTTCTTTTTTTTTTGTTATAATTAAACTGATATATTATTTATTCTGTTCTTTTCAAACTTATTAAATCTTATGAAAATCAATCAATGATTATTAAGGAGATTTTTCTATTTTCCTAGTGATATATTATCTATATAATAGAAAAAACAAAACGAGATTAATTTTTAGTCGAACAGTTAAGAAAACATTTCTCAATATGAGAAATGTTAAACAAACAGTTTTCCATTCTATAGAAATTTATCAAAGATCAAACTCTTCTATAATGAACAGATATTAAATCGGTTTCGATCTTCTTCTTTTTTCAAAAAGTTCAAAGAGAAGCCAGTGAAAACGTTCTACTACCTTTGTCAATATCTAATTCTATCAATTTTACTATAGAATTGATTCCTAGTTTTTCTTTTCAACCAAATTTATCTTCTTTTCTTTTAAAAGTTCAATCCAAACTGATCATATATATATATGATAATAATTAAATATCAATAATTAGAATAATTTTATTTAAATGTTCTTCGACAAGAATTCGAATAGATATTCGATTAATTTCTAAAGAAAAATATTATCTCTATCTATTGATCAGATATAGAATCAAATTTTAATACTATTTTATGTTATCTTAGATAAACAAGTTTACTATCGATTAACAACAACACAGATTATTTATCGGTTAAATAAGACTATAATCCATATCTTCATAGATTAACTGGTCAACATTATTAGAGATTTTAATCAGTTCCGTCTACAATTTTATCAATAACTACTAATAAATTGGTGAAGTTTGTTTTTGTTTTTTTCGAAAAGTTCGTTTTCATCGAGCAGAAAACATCAATGAACATAGATCAATGGTATTTAAAAGATCTCCTCTAAAGTGATTATTGAATCTCTTTCGATCAGTAAAATGATAAAAGATTTAAATAAATGGTTACTTTAACCGATCATTTGAATAACAGTTTTCAATTATCTAAACAGATTCTATTCGAAAGATAAAAAAAACATAAATAAAGAGTCTCTCATTTAAAAGTATGACAATCTAACAAATAACCTCATTTAATTAGTATGAACATTTCACTAGAAATTATTATTGATATCTTATTTATTGGTATAATTCAATATTTGACGTTGTTTAATAGAAAAATCATCTCATTGAACATATATTCAGATAATCACTAACGAATCTAAACATATTCGATCGAACCAAGGAGAAGTATATTTACTCTTATTTAGTCAAAGGTTAATTAAATCGATCGATCTCAATAATTCATAACAAGACAAAAAAAGTTAATCAACAAGATTTTATTCTGTTCGATAGATAAAACATTGTAAAAAAAAAAAGAAAATAATAATAATCAAACTGAATGTAGTCAATTAGTCTGGAAATAGTTCGGACTTGAATAGAATTTGAGATGATATCAACTATTATTATTAATAAGAAGAAAAATTCATGGAAATACGGATATAAAAGGAGGTTAACCATTGAAAAGGTTAATAATAATATATGTTAAATAATCTATTGAGATCTTATCTCAGATAGATAAAATACATATATATCGATGTTAAAGACAATCGAAAATCATTTATTTATCTATTTTATCTTAAAATTTAATTGAATGGTGAAAAAAGGTAAAGTTGAATTTATAAAATAAGATATAAAATAGATTTAAACTATTTATTAATATGTGATAAATAGATAAAATTGATATCAATATCTATCAATGATAATATTATCTATTCTCAATTTAATAGAAGACCATTTAAAATAAACTCAATTCTTATTTTATTTACGGTTTACTTAATGTCATATGAAAGAATAGGTCTTCTTTTTTAATGAAATTTTTTAATAAAAAAAAAAAAAAAAAAACCCTACATGAATAAGAATTCCATCTTCATAATCCCAAACATTGATAATACCGTTTTGTTGCGCAACACATAACTAAAATATAAATAAAATCTTATTTAATATAATATTGTTGATAATATATATTTGAAATACTTGAAGTTGATTATTTGGATTGATTGATTGAGCAAGAATTATTTGTTGATCATTTGAATTTGAATTGTGATTAATTAATCTTAAACATTCTCCTGTTTTAACAATCCATACATAAACACATCCATCACCAATTGTAAATATATATCTAGATTTAAACGATAAGAATTTTATTTTAAAAAGTCAATACTTACTTCGAATCTGATGATACAACTGGACGATATTTCATTATTGTTCCAATACCAAATTGACGAATCTTTAATTTTTTCATTTTTAGTTTTTTTTTCTTATAAGTCAATCTAAAATACAAAACAAAAGAAAAAAGATTGAAGCTTGAAATGGTAGAATATATATATAAGAATTTATCTCATTCAATCTTATGTAATAAAATAAATATCAATATAAATCGTTTTATTTTTTAATATAGGCCGCTTTTTTTTCTTTTATAAATAATTGATAAAATAACATTCGACTATATAGAATGTTGTTTATCATTCTCAAATTGAACACTCGATTATTTTAAATAATTAATCATAGATAATTTAATTCGAAGAATATATTTAATAGAATATCAATTGATATAAGAGTTTCACCTAATATAATCAACTTATTCTCACATTGAGATAAAGAATAATATAGTCTCAGTTAACATAATTATTTCATTATTATGATTTAAATAAAAAGGATAAGTAAGCTAAACTTGAATATTATTCTTAAAAAATGAGATTATTATATAAATATAAATATATAGATGATGATATTAAATAATAATAATATAAAATCTGTTCGAAAGAATTATACAAATATGAAATGAACAAGAATTTTTTTCGATTTTTTTCTTATCTAAATAAATGAAAATTTGTAATCAATTCGATGAAACGATTTTCCAGATGATTTCTTTAAATAATCGTTTCGATTAATATATTCAATAATTCGATATTTCATATAGTAATTCTACCAAAACAATAACAAATAATCATTTTCGATTAAATTAAATTTTTCTTATTTTCTTCTTGGTTTTTTTTACAAGATTTCTGAAAAGGAAAAGAAAAGATCGATATAAATCTAATCAGTCTATTTCTACTTGTTGTTTTTTCTATAAAATATTGGTGGAAGGGAATTAAAAGAATAATATGTTTAACTGTCTTGAAAAAGTAAAGCTAATTCTATCGTAATGTTTGTGAAGGAATTTGTTTAAGTTGTTGTAAACATGATTGTAAGGTATCGTTTTTCTTGTTTATCTCTAATTGATTGTTTAACTTTATTTCTAATCCAATTAATCATATTCGTTCTTTCAAAATCTTTTCGTGCATTTTGTAAAGCAAGTTGATAATCTAATCGATGTTTAACAGGTTCATAGATTTGTTTAAGTCTTTCTCTATATACTGTTTCTAATCCAATATAAATAATATATTTTCGTGCTTGAGTTAACTTTCGAATAGGTTTAGCACATTCTAATGATTGTTGATAGGCATGTAACATTTTGTCCAGCCATTGCTTTTGAATTATTAACAACTGAATTATATCGATCAACTTCTTCTTGATGCCAATCACGAAAAACATTTCCAATTGATGGATCAAGTCTAGAAAACTAATTTCTTTTTTAAATTAAAATAATATTTATTTATATTTACTTTTTAACAACAATAATAACAGCTGCAGCCAAAATAATATATTCAGTAAAATCATACCATAAAACAATATATTCTTTACTAAACACCATAAATAAGTAAACCATAGAAAACACATATATGCTCCAGTAACAACAGTTTTTTCATAACAAAAATTCAAACCATGATTTAGGTACACAATACCATAGAACTAGATTTGGTGATTGACGAACGTTTATATCGAGGATAATTAACTAAATGACGTTGAGGCCATTGATCATGAGGCCATAAACGTTTTCCATTATATTCTCTTCGCCATTGTTACTGATGATAAATCGTTTAATGAATCTTCAATTCGTAATACTTTTTCCTTTTGTTTATCTTCAACTAATCATTTATTATCTCAATTATAATCATAGATATATATATATATTCAATAAGCCAAACATGTGTATTTATCACTTTTCGATCTTAATGTAGGATTTTGAAAATATTTATTTAAAATTGAGAATGGTCGATATGTAATTAATGATGGTAAAATACCACTAGACACAAGAGGACGAGTCAATTTTATCAACATCTAAAAAAATGTTCAACCAATATTGATTGTCTCACACTTTTTCTAATGTGAAATAAACAAAAATAAATAAGTTACGAGAGCGACCTCTTCTGTTTTTGTGAAGTTCACATATCAATAAAATTATTTTGAAATCGATCTTTAATCTAACATTTTTTAATGAAGAATTTTCTTTCATTTATTGAAACTTATAGATGATTATCATAGTATATAAAACAAATTAAGAATGGTTCAATAGGAGCCAATTAGATTATCGATCAAACATCGGAACAAGAATTTATTTTAACCAAAACGTTGGTTTCATTAGAAAAATGATCCTTCATTAGATTCCTATTAATTTGACATGTATTTTTTAACTTGTTATTGTTACATATTAATCAGAACTCATCAATAAAATAGAATAAAAGTTAACGCGTCTTATGGAAATCCAAAATAATGTGTTTTTCTATATTATGTTTACACTAGCAAATTGTACAACAATGAAATTCTTTTAACTAATGCATGAAAAAGAAGGAGAAAGAAAAATGGAGTTCTTTCATTTGACAAACATAACCTATGGATAATGAAAAAACAAAGGACAGGAATGAAAAATATGTTTTGGATTTTTTTTCTCATATATCAAAAAAGAGATTGAAGAGTGATAGAAAACAAGTAAAAATATTCTAAAATTATTGAATAAGTTTCATTTATCACCTTTGAGCTTAAAAATTGATTCAACCATCTTGAAATCAATGTCTTATTTTATTCAATAAAGTCTAAAACAACGTGTATATCGAGAACAACATATGCACTATACACAAGAGGGAAACAACAGACTCCAATCCTTATCAGTCTCACAGAGTCATTTATAATTCCTCTGAGTTCTTCGAAATCAAATGGAATTCTCGCTAGTTTTGCAAGGACTACCATGCAACATTCTTATCAGAAAGAATGTTACATGAGAAGTTTGATTGCATCGAAGACTTGTACTCTACAAAAAACTGTTGTTTTTTTTTTGTAGAACTCATCAGTTCTCGAATAGCATCTTGTTCGTCTTCATCAATGTAATCATCATTCGAGGAAAGACTATTATTATTGTTCTCATCCTTGTTGATATTATTTGCTGTTTCGACATCACCATTCGCAGCTTTTTCAAAGTCTTCGTCGTCCATATTGGTTACTTGAGATGAGTAGTTGGATATATTTGAATTTGTATTTAATTGTCCAAAGATGTATTCACTTTATGACTTGAAACCAAGAAAACGTTGTTTTTGTAATAAATTCAATATTTCTGAGCCATCAAGTCTATAAATAGTTTTTATTATACGCATTGTTGATAATTTGTTTAATATCTATTTGATCGATCTCATTTTCAGTTTGTCTAAATGATGATTGACGATCATTGCGATGCTTGGAATAAACCGGAAAGATCAAATTGTCAACTGATTCATCATATAATTGTTTACATTTAATATCATTCAGTAATAACAGGCTTTGGGCGTATCGTATAAAATCATGCATTGTGAAGTTAATTACGGTTAAATAAATCCCACTTAATGCTTGCGTGTTTCTTAATATTGATTCACAAGTTTGCGAATTGAAAATATGAATATTGAATACATGTGATGATACCCAGTCAGACAAAAATTTCGAAAAACGCGTTTAAACGCACAATCGGGAACCGTGACTGTGATCCATTCACGCTCATTAAAAGAACGTACGAAAACGTGTTTATTGGCGTTTTTTGTAACTTTCTGGGCGTCAAAACGGCGGAAATTCCAGTTTTTGAGCGTTAAAACGCACTATTATTCTAGAACTTAAAAACAATACGTTTTAACGCTCAAAAACTGGAATTTTCATCGTTTTGATGCCCAGAAAGTTACAAAAAACGCCAATAAACGCGTTTTCGTGCGTTTTTTTAATGAGCGTGAATGGATCACAGTCGCGGTTCCCGATTGTGCGTTTAAACGCGTTTTTCGAAATTTTTGTCTAACTGGGTAACTGTTTCTGTTTGACAAGTAAAATAAAATATGATCAATTATGCGTATTCAGTTCAGGCACCATACATGTTGGTTTAGTAATAAAATATTTACTTTTATTGTTTTGTATTGCTTGTGTCAGTGTTGTAACTACTAATAGTAAATAATCAGTCCAATCCGATCTTGTCGAGGATTCGTTACCGGTCAGTTTGAATTTTTTTGAGTTATTTGTATCCTTTTTTTTCAAAAAAAGATGATCTTAAAAGGGTTTTTTTTGCAAATCAAAAAGTTTTCACTGATGTCGAAGACTTTCCGTAAGGGAGTGTACATCAGAATTTTCTATTAAGTGAAAATTTATTAAAGTACACTGAATATATTGTGTCAATTCATGTTGATATCAAGTTATGTTATCGAAACAAAATCGAATAATTATTTAGTATTGGAATTATCATAAATTGATTTATATTTCCTACTACTTATAGTATATACTTTGCACAGTTATAAGAAATAATGAAGAAAGTATAGCATGGAAAGCAGATAAATTATATGTTTACTTAATAATATCTATGTCTAATGAACATTTATTCATTGCATAAAGCTTATATAAAATTTGTCGTTCTATGCGGCATCCTGTGTACCGATCGATACTTGAAGATAAAAAATTTAAGGAAATAGATAGGGAAAAATCTATAGTAGCGAACCAGGCTCACATGTCATTAGTGTGGTGATTAAGAGGTAGATATGACTAATCGAGTGTTCGATTTAACTTTCATATGATCAGAAAAGTGAAGGACGGCTCATCCTAATCTACTGATCGGTTCAATTTGGTCTGACCGATTTAGACCAGTGCCGCTGTAATGGAAAAAACACTAGCGGTTGGAACTTTGGTTTGTGTTGCATTGAATATTTTAAATTTAATCGATGTAAACCATGATCGACATGAAGTAATTACACACGCTAAGCAGACCGTAGTATTATATCATCATCTATCACAACATCTACAGATGACTATGATTATCCTACTAGACAGTCATCGTTATTAATAACGACAAGACAATCAAAAAGAAATCTTAATGTAATAGAATCTTGACTTGATACAAGAAAAGCAGCAAAAAAATGAGAAGAGAATAAGGTTTATATTAGTAACACTGTCAGGTTTCGTGCTTCTCGTGTTGCTTCTTTGATTTTATCTCATCGAGAGATATCTTTTTTTTAAACAAGTATATCTTCTGTGGGAAACTAATCCATTTACTCTTTACTTAAATGCTCAACCTATTGAGTAATTGTTGCTTTTTATATTTGTTTTCATTTTTATTGTTTTAATATTATACCATTGACTATTGGCCGAACATATAAGATGTTGATAGTAATAAAATAACTCTTATTTGAGCACAAGTTTATTAAATAATCTATGCATTGTGTATGCGCGAATGTCCACATAACTTTTCATTGATATCGTAGTCGTTCTTTGTTATTTATAAGAGATTGGAAAAGACAACAGATTTGTAAAATAGCAGAAACTTAAGAGCTACTAGAGATAATTTGAGTAACTTGGAATATTGGAGAATCCTTTGGGACCTCGAACTTCTGGAATTTGCTTTTCCTCCTTTCACTAAACATGTTACTGATGTTTGGTTCATCTCCGTTGAGAAACAGTGGTTTATGTACATAATTGAAGCTCTCTTAGAGAAATAACTAAATAACAAATCTAACAAAGATTTTTTGATTTTTTCATTATATAGAAAAGTTTTCTTTAATCTTTCTTTGAGATTAGTCAGATGATTTTCAACGTTGAATAAAAGAATATCTTTTCAATATATTATTTGAATATTATTATTTTATTTCTTATTCGAGTTTCCTTTTCTGATTAATAATCATTTTGATATTGTTATGAATATTATTTTTAAGAATAGCTTCAGTTAAAAAATATTTATGAAAAAAGTCTAAACAAAGAAAATAATTAATAATAATCCTTGCTGAAGGTTTTATCATATAAAATAAGAATAAAGAAACAATTTACAAAAGTAAACTTTTTCTTTTTGTTTAATAATTCAGAATGGAATTAAAAGTTCTTTTGAAAAAAATATTTCTTTGATATATTCATTATATATAAATGATTTTTGTATCGATTGATAATAATATAAGATGATGAATTTATCGGAAAAGAATAAGAATGGTTAAATATGAACCAATAGTAAAATAGATGATTCATGAACATATGAAAAAAATGATTCATTATTTTCAAATCTGGTATTGCTCAATAGAGAGAAAAAGAAAAAGACATATTAAATTCGACGTTTGTTGTTAATGATGTTATCATTTATTCGTAAACGATTTCCATCAAAAGATCGGAGTAATGAACATCTTCAAAATGTTAAATCGAACTATATTCAAAATGAATATCAGGTATTTAAAAGAGTTTTTTTGATTGAAACAATATGTTTTTGTCTATGATGATATTTGAATAAATATATAAAAGAAATTTTTATTGATTTCATTTTTCTTTTGAAAGGATAATGGTAATCAAATGAATAAAACCGAATCTACAAATGATTCGAATGTTAATAATAATGAAAAT